ATTTTTGTAATGTTTAAGTGATATTTATTATACAAGGGACAAAAGTATTAGATTTTAGCTCGAGGTTGTTTTGTGTCTCCCGACGTAGCGGAGGGATACAAAGAACCGAGAGTTAAAATTTAATATTTTTCCGCGTATAATACACTATTTTTTTCTGATTCAATATTGAGAAGATATTACATTATAATAAAATCAGAAAATTGTGGATGTGAAATTTGAAGTTTTCAACTGGTAGTAAGTATAACTGTGGTTCCAGGCATCTTTTTGTAAGCATCTTTATTGTTGCTATGGAAACCTTTCGAAGTAATCGAATATGTGTCAACTTATATGTTTTGATTTCAAAAAATGACGAAGAGTGGTTGGTTACGTGACCGCGAAGTGGAATGAAAAATAAAAGGACTGTTAGTTATTTATCGGAGACGCTCTTATTGGCTTATTTTTCAGTACTGGCACAACAAAAGCCATCAACAGTGAACCTATAAATCCGGGAAAAAGTACTCACTACTACTCATACTCAACAGAGATAAAATGCCAAACTTTTTTCCCGTCATAGTTAATTATAAGTACACCAAGATAATAATGAATATCATTATTACCAAGGTCCCGTGGTAATGATATTCTTTACCTACTACAAAGGTGTATATTAAATTTTTTTCACCACTAGCATAGTTATTTATTATAAAAGGAAAAAAGTAGTAGATTTTAGCTCCAAAAAACCGTGAGCTAAAATCTAATATTTTTCCTGTGTATAATACACTGTTTTTTTCTGTGACAGAAGAATGGACGAATCAATATTGAGAAGATATTATATTATTTTGAGATCTGAAAATTATCGACGTGAAATTTTAAGTTTTCAACAGTAGGGACACCTGCGTTGTAGGCATCTTTATCATTCTTTTGAAGTAATCAAATATGTGATGTCACTTCTGTCAGTCTAATTCTGTGATTTGATTTTAAAAAATTGCGAATTTAGTGGTTGTTTAATAATATACTTAACCGCAAAGTCGAATGGAAGATAAAAGGACTTGCAGTTCTTTCTCGGAGTACTAACTTTTTTCCCAAGGGAAAAAAATAATTTATGAAAAGTGACATTTTATAACTTGCCAACAGAGATGAAATGCCAAACTTTTTTCCCGTCATAGAAAAAATACATTTAAATCATTTCAGTTCTGTGAAACTGAAATATGGACATGATGTTTTCACTATGAAAGCACTTCTTCTCTATTTTATTTAAAATCTAGTAGCCACGACCATGACAGCATATGAGAAGTCGTTATTGATAAATACCCACTAGATTCGAGTGCCATTCCTGCGAATATCGCCATCAGAACAGTGAATTCAGGTTAATTACAACAGAGGTGGTTGTCTTTATTGACTAGTGGTTCATAATATTACGAAAACTACCTTGGTAGTAAAAACAAACTACGCCTCGAAAAGGGGTAAATAATGGTAGATTTTATAGCTAGTGGTGGAAAAAAATATATTCAGCCATTTTGCCCCAGGCGTCAGGTAGTTAATACGGCCCTGGGCACTCAACATTGTTGAAGGTCCATACAACAACAAAAAAGTCTAGTTCAATTTCACTTCTTTAATCTCGCAACTAGGTTACTGGAATAAATAAATATTTTATTTACATTTATTACCAAAATTAAATGTACAGTATGATTCACATAATATATGCTTCCAACGAAAAATATGCAAAGTATAAACTATGTTTGGATCGACGAACATTTTCTGATCATTCTGTTAATGGGCGCAAACAATCATTTAGATAAGTACAGTACTTTCATTCCAAAATAAAGTCACTCTAGAAATCTGCTGTGATTAGAATTTTGAGAATAAATAGGTCGATTTTGATATTCAGGGAATATTCTCTTCCAGCAAAGACTGTTGTTCTTCTCCCTCACCTCGTGGCCTCCCCTGGCCCTACTTCAAAAATTTAAATGGCACTAGATAATTTATTGACAATCATTTGTGAATTAATTATAATTTATTATAATCATTCCATACTAGATGGTTAAATTCGTATAACTGTTTGTTAGTTATAACTAAAAGTGGTTTGATATCAACAATATTATTTGTCAAGAAATCAACATGGCATATGTTCACAATCCTCATTATTAGACAAGACAATTACTGCAGCAGCAGTAAATCAAAAATAGGTTAGATTATGCTGATGAATGATGAAATATCAATTAAGCAAAATTGTATTTGCAATTTAGTTATCAGTAAATCAAAAATAGGTTAGATTATGCTGATGAATGATGAAATATCAATTAAGCAAAATTGTATTTGCAATTTAGTTATCATTTGGAGCTCATTTTGAATATGAAATTTTGAGATTTAGCGGCAAGAATGTTGATATCGATATAGTTCTTCTTCTATAGCTCTTTCTAACGCTGTTTAGACTGATACCAATGATGTAGGTAAGAGGAATTCTTCTACTTAATTAACGAATCGAATATACCTCATACAATAATGAATCGAAAATGTGGTGCCATGTTTAATGGTAGAGGCTGAGAAAATGAACAAGATATTTAACTGTTACTGGTACCTTTTCGGATATCAACTTATTTTTTTGTCAAACTTATTATCACTACAGATCCAAGTCGTTGAGGGTGGCTAGTTCAGTAAACTGCTCATTTTTATTAGTTTTGGAACTGCAAACTATAATCCATATTTAGTTTATAAACAACTTCCTAATGGGCATATGCTGTTATAGTTTTATATACTCAAATACAGTTCGGTATAATAAATATCCCATTATACCTTTGAAATTCATGAGAGAACTGAATATATAATATTTTTTCATTGAAATTCCTTTTATTCTTCAAACATTCCAGGAAAATTATAGACGGCCTAATACACTTGTCATAATTCAACTAACTGCCATTGAACCTATTTTTTCTTGGAATTAATTTTTTTTTTGTTAGGTTCCAATTTATTTCAATTTCAACATCAGCAACTGTCACTTTTTGCAATGGAGAGAATGAAACAAATTATTCATAACATAATGAAGTAGTTCAGATGCTTGATGAAATGACGAAGTCTATAATCAATCTTTTTCATTGTTTCCGAGAACATATTAATATGTAAATGAAATCTGGCACTGCGCCCATTTTTTTCTGAAACCAGTTATCACCAAATTTTACTGTGCTTTTATTTTTCGAGGTTGTTCTCATTATAATACATCTATCCACGGTCCAGTAATTATACACTGTCTTCATTGTATTCATCGAGTCACTTTTTGTTATAAGGCAAATATTTGAGAATAAGCTGCCAAAATATTGCGCAGAGCGCTACACGATCAAGAGAGTTGTTTCATGTTATTTTTTCGTCGTAATAATATTTTTTATTGGCACCCTACTATGCTTATTTGAAGAAGGCGTCAGCGTGTCTAATTCCAACTTTCAAAAACGCGTGTTTTTTAATAACATTACCATGGCAACACCCGGCAATATCCTGGACCCGAGAAACGTGAATACTAAAAATGTTATTTCAAATCTCAATCTGACAGGAGTACCATGTTACGTCACATAAAATTGCACTAACAATTATTTATTAGTTGTTATTTCCATAATACTTATTATGATCTCAAAGTGTACCAACCGAAAGGCCATCGTGGTCGATAAATCGCGCGTGTTTGAAAGACTTAATATCACTTATATTCTAAACTATTCTCTGTATTTTTTTTTTGTTTTGAAAAAACTTCGTTGGTAATATTTTGATGCGCCCCAAACTAGTCTAGGCCGTAATTTGTGACTTATTCCAGGTACACACAAAAAACGTTGACAAACTATATCTCAACCGTGTTTATTGAGTTCTCTTACTGTTTTATGTGTATATCTAGTATACACATAAATAGTAATCAAAAGGAAATATTCTCTTCAAGTTCATTAATTTGTTCCAAACTGTCAACAAAATGATCAGAATATCCATACCATCTATTCTAAACAAACATCTAGCAGATGACACAGGTTTAAAGTAAAATAAGTTCGATTTTACTAAATCTGGTGTACATTGTATTGAGAATCGACAAAAAAAATTGGAAGCATCTTACTTGAACCATCCTATACATAATAATATAGTCCAAATCAGCTGATATGGAGGTATCTGAGAAACTATTTTTTACATCGAGTCATGAAATGAGCAACTACAAGTGATAATTTCTTGAATGGGCTTGAAAGGATCTGTCCTGGACTATATTATATTTATTGGATCTTCAGTTACACCTCTGGATCACTAATTTATTGGCTTGCCTGTGCAGTAGGCCCTACTTCTATATACAAGGCGATTCTGATTGGGACGAAGATAAATATATCTCTGTTATTGATAGATAAGATATCCTGAATATAAAGCAGAACTCGTTGAAACATTGTTTTATCTAAACAAGGCATTTTGTTGGTGTTCTACAAACTAGGCATTAAAATTGATCAAAAATCGATATGTGGAATAAATACAGTAAATCTAAAAAAATATATATAACACAATAATACCTCAACTGTTTCCAACTGACGAATTGGTACTACATGGAACTATTAAGTACAAATTACTTGAAATCTATTGATCATGAGTAACATCGACCACTTAATGAGAATCGAAAAATGTTAAAAAGAGCCAGATTAGAGAATTTTTGAAACATTTATTTTCCACATATGATTTAGACACAAACAATCATTTGCATAGAGAAAATTCCATAAATTCTATAAACAAAAATAAATGCTCCAAAATTACAAATCAATTCTCTCTACAAACAGCAATACCAAGATTTCATGAAAACTCACAAGAAAGTCAATAGATGAAGAAATATTTATTTGTTCAGTTGTATCATTGATGAAGTCCTAAGGACATGGGAGAAAAAATAATATTTTGGTACCTAGTGATTTGCAAAACATAAACGTTTCATATTAATTTATAAAATCTATCTACACTATGTACAATGATCAGTAGATTCCAGAAATGAATTGGCATAAATGAAGGACAAAGAAGAGCAGTCTATTTCAGTCCATTATGGATATCTGGGCATACCCTATAAGGGCCTTATCGTCTGGAACTTCGCTACTGTTCAGTGGTGAGTTCTAAAAATTATAGTAAAAGTTCCATTTGAAATATTTTGTTTCGCTTTCTAAAACTAAAAAGTTAATATCTCTAGCGGTTTTTGCCAAAAGTAAATTCAAACTTCAGTATACCCAACATAATGTTTAGAGGGAGAGTTGAGAAAATGATCCAAAGTCATATTTGCCTAGGAAAGTATTTCCAAAAACTTTGTAACCTTTAATAATTACATACTTTCTCTATCCACCCCAGGTATAGCCTGAGCAGTCACTTGAGCCAAATTCAGAAAAAAAATCGCCGGCGACACGCGGTCTCAAGTGACTTTGCAAATACTATAAGCACATATAATAAACATTATAGATGCCCTTTCATGTGACCCAAAAGATAGAAAAAAAGTGTTATATCCATCGGTTTATTATGAGCAAATGAACATACATTACCTACATGTACCTGTTTAACTCTAAATATATTCAATATTTATTTTGAAAATGGAAAACATTCATTATGGCATGCAATACAACAAGTGTATTGATAATCGCTATGAGTGTATTGATAATCGCTATGCGCGCTCGTGTAGTTTCCAAACAACATAATTTGTATCTAAAAAGACAAAGAACTTTCGATCTTATCGCTTGGAGCGCAAGTAAGGGAATCCCTATAATGTTCATGCTATTAAGATTATTTCACTCATTATTTAAACAATTCTTCAACGTCGTATTTCCCTTCATTTTGTATTGCAGTTTTTGTTTAAAATTTTATAAACATTTTTGCAATTTTCTCCAAAGTTTTCCAATAGCTAAAAGCAGATTACTTACAGGTATGCACTGATGATGACTTGACAGTCGAAAGCGCTCTGCTATGAGTAATAAATTTGAATAAATTATCTTGCACGAAATACAACACTTCCCTTTATTGGTTATTTGAAATAGTCAACTTTTCAATTGCTGATGCTTCAACTAAATACATATTCTGTGCACAGTCAAATGAAGATGATTTTCGAATCTGTAGATTTCGAGAAAACATTTCAAACTTACAGCTCGGCTATGAACTATCAGCTGCGCTAATTTACTACTTTCCTGCCAAGTAAAACAAATAACTATTATTTTACTAGACATAAAAATGGTTATGTTTTACTAGGCGATTCATACCCGAGCATAGCAAGACTAGGAATTCAGCGGAGGCAGTCAATCTACATTTCCTGCCGTGTGAAACATATAATTTTTTCTCCATATGTTATAATACCAATTTTGTGTAACCTTCTTATTGAAAACTCCATCATTTTGTGTTCACCCAATGTCAGTGTCAAGTTTGATTACCGATTTCATTCAAAATAATTGGAACGTTGCATAGCAACAAACAGAAAAAGTACAGCTTTCCTGCCTGTCAAGCGGCATAGAAAAGCCACACTTATGTCTGTCTCAAAATCGAAGGGATCTGTATTTCGATAATCATCAATACACTTGTTGTATTATACAGGGTGTCCCTGAAAGGCCTGTACAAAATAATACCATAGACTCCTTGACACCAAAGTGAGATGATTGAACCTAACTCACCTCTATACCAAAACGCACCGTTAGCCACAACAGGGCGTCGGATTTGAAGTTTTATTTTTATATTTTCGTATATTTCCATATTGCCTAAAAAGACTATCATGCATAGGAAACATTTCATACCATTTTTATCGACACACTGTATGTTGCATATTCGGAGTACTGTTGATTGAAAAATTTATAGAACTTTGTCTGAGTACGCCACTGAACAGATCTCAATGTTTTTTCTATTTTCCCATTCAACACAGAACTTCCTTCCCACCTAAATGTTTGTGATATTCAATTATTGTAGGTTCGTACTTAATGACATTAAGGAACACTAATCAGAGTGTGAGATTCTTGGGTATTTTTCTGGATGAGTTCCTTAACTGGAAGGCTCATTGTCAGCAATAAACTTCTAAGCTCAACTGTCTGAAGTTCCTTTTCATCAATCTCCGATCAGTTTTCAGTAAGGATCAATTACTAAACATATATTTTGCTCAAGTAGAATCTAGATTGGGTGGATCAACGGCTACAATGGAAGTGTTCATTGCCCAGAAGCGAATAATACGGTGCATAGCAAATGTTTCATCTAGAGAATCATGTAGAAGACTCTTCAAGGAATATAAAGTTTTGACATTGACATCTCTTTATATCTTTGAATTATGTGTATATGTTTTCAAAAATAAATCAACTTTCACAATGAATCAGAATCTACATAACCATAACACAAGAATTAAGAATCACTTTCATTTGTCGTAAGCAAGGTGTAAAGTGAGTTCATCTACCCCGGACTGCATTGGACCTAAAATATTCAATAAGCTTCCTGAAGATTTGAGGTCTGTGAAACACATCATTATGTTCAAAAAGATGTTGAAACACTATTTATTGGAAGCATGTTTTTATACAATTTCAGAATTTTTAGAATAAGATTAGTTTTAGGTATTATCGATTCTATTCTATCACTATTTTCTCTTCTCTATCTAGCTCTTTCATCATTTTCTACTACTGATTTATATCTTATATCATATTGACAATTCCCATACAATGTTATTTGTCGAAGTGGAAATAAAGTATTATTATTATTATTATTATTAATTTTCGTATTAAATCATCAATCATATCGATGATATGTGGCACAGATTTCTCCACGAATTCAAAGGCATAGTGTTGCATAAAAATCAGCCCACTTTGGTCTCAGGAGTCAATGGTATCATTTTGTACGGACCTTTCGGGGATATCCTGTATAAGAAAATCATTAATCATAAATAATATTCATCACTTACCAACTGGAAGGTTACGATTTTCTGACGATCCCGTTGATCGATGAGTTTTTGTAGGTTGACGGTGATGGCCGTTATGTCTTTTCCATCGACTAAACCAGCTCCCACGAGCTCGGTGGCGATGCCTTCAGCCGAATCTTTTCCGACGGCGAACTCGAACCTTATGTCGTTCAGTTCTCGTTTCGCATTCCTGTGAAAATATGTTGTTATGATAATTTGACATCGCCTTTTTGGTCGACAGCAAGTGTCATTCTTAAAGCAAGGTTTGTCGGAATATTTAATACAATTTAATTTGATAGATCATTTCCAATTGCTGTCATTAATTTATGTCTTAAACCGTGAACATGTTGGAGTAGTGACAGATGACGGAAGATGTGATACTCGAAGTAATGAAATAAAAAGCACGTGTTTGTATGCCGCTGTTTACGTCGTATGTACAATGTACCAGTAATTCACCTGATGAAGCCACTGTGTTAGCGAAACATGTCGTGTGATAAGGAATTTTGTGGAAATCATCGTTTGTGAAGTTTACAATGTGTGTACAATGTACAATATTCACCTGATGAAGCTACTGTGTTGGCGGAACATGTCGTGTGATTAAGAATTTTGTGGAAATCTTATAGTTTGTGAAGGTTACAATGTGTTTACAATGTAAAATGTACCAGTATTTCACCTGATGAAGCTACTGTGTTAGCGAAACATGTCGTGTGATTTTGTGGAAATCTTATCGTTTGTGAAGTTTTCACATTTTCTATGGATTTCCATCAATTAACGGCCGAGTCAATTCAAAAAAGTTATTATCAAGTCATGTTGTAGAGGAAAATTGGGAAAGGAAAAGGATATACAAACCTGGAAGTGGAAAACTGCTTGTGTGGTTCTCTGAAAGGGACAAAACATGGGCTGAATAAAAAATCATGTAATATTCCAAAGGTCAATACAACGAAATCACCGATAGATTCTGTTTAAACACTTGCTAGTATTAGGGATGAACAGTTGCGTCGTTGAATTTTGAATAATTTTCGTAATGAATTCAATTGCAGAGTATATGTATAATTCGAGGCACCAAATGAGTCCGGGGACGAAAGGAAGAGAATGAAGGCATTCAGTACTCTTGAGCCTAGAGTATATAAACAATTTGGCTTTGCAGATAACGTCGCTTTGATCAAGAACGATATGTCTGACTGCACCTTTGATCTGATACCACCATTTCTAGCGAGCGCTTGGGATTACATTTTTTAATCGACAGTAAGTTGATGATCGCAATATTTATATTCTGCTCTGGGCTCACATTCTTTCCGCCGGTCATCTTTCAGGAGCCAGAATATAAGTCAATGTGAATAAAAGCTCTTCGTTTCGAAATTTATCAGTGTAGAATTTTCACCTATAATACCATGAGAGCTTCAATTATTACCGGTTTTTAATTGAAGCTAGAGTGGTATTTGTTAGGAATAATTCACATCGGAATTTGAAAAATACTAGGATAATATTACGCTAAATAAAATACATAATACCGACTTCAATTACGAAAAATATTGATAACGCACCTGGTAGTAGTTCAAACTATTGTTCTTGACTAACTTTATTCCACTGAAGTTGGTGGAAATTGCTTTGTTACAAGGAACTCGACAGTATGTAGTATGAATATAATTCATATACATAACATTGTTGAGTTGAATGAATCACAAAATGCAAAATAATAAAAAATAAGCCGATAATAGCTCAATTTATCAGTTTTTCAGAAATTCATTTTACTAAAGTTGGTAAAAACATATCTCACAATAAACTCGAAGTACTATTTAGTATCAGTGGAATTTGCTCACGAAATATTATTGGGTTAAATAAAATATGATCAAACGGCTATATAGTTGAATTACATAATAAAAAATAAGTCAATAGTAGCTAAATCTCTCAGTTCTTTACAAATTCATTGAGCTAAAGTAGAAATAGTTTCAGTTTTTTGTAGCAGGACTTTAACAGCTGAGAAAAGACATTTTTTAAAGATGAAAATTGCATGTAAACATATATGCTTGGAAGCTTCGTTTTCGATATACAGGGTTTCCAAGTTTGAGATTTTGTTGGTGTTTTACCAATTTCCTCCTACCATTTCCAAAATAATGAATTTAAATTTGGTACACCTATCATAGTTTGAAAACGCAATATTTGGGACAATTGAGCGTTCTTGAATACCTACAGGATACTATTTTGAGGGTCGTACCCAAGTTAACCCTCTCGAACATTTTTGCTTACCGTCTTTTATGAAACATCAATTAAGATTCTTCCTTCAATTTGGATACTTTTTGCTAACTTTTTTTTTTTTTCGAAAACTGTATGGGCTTCAAGATAAATGCATATTATATGTATATACTGACACTAGAATGCCAATTTCCATCAAGGGAAAAGCGTGTCGCATATGCTACTTGTTCAATGATGTGCGCATGCTCAGTTTTTTAGGTTACTTGAACTACAACGTTGCCAGATTTGCGAAAGAGTTATTGATAAAACTATTTTAATCGATATTAGACTAGATATTTCATCAATGTATCACACTTGGGGTCTAGCGCAGAATTTTTTAGGTTTTTTTTGTGTCCAGACTATTTATCATTGGTCAAAACGACTCCCATGTCCCTATCTTTTTGATTAACTATCTACTGACATTTAATTGGAACAATAAAGAGTGGTTCAAGACTCAGAATTCTGATCACCCTGTATCTGTTCCAATTATTAATTGTCAGTAGATGGTAAATCGAAAGTTCAGATAGGAACATGAAATCCTTTTTGACCAATATTGAATAGTTTCGACACAAAGAAATTCTAAATTTAATAAATCTCGATTTTGAACATCTTATATCTCTGTAATCATTTCCGCTAGACCCCAAGTATGATGTATTGATGAAATCAGCTCTTCAGGAAGAATCTAAAAATGGAATGAAATACAATGTGTCCCATTCAAAAAAATCGACTAGTACCCTGGAGATCGTTTGTTCCGAGATGCCTGTATTTTCTGTAGTAGCGGAAGAAATAATTATCGAAAATCATTTCAAATGATTCTTCAAATTTTGGGATCAGTTCAAAAGAAACGGAACTAGAAATGGGGGCATTTATGGTGAATCACCCTGTACATGAATATTATGTCACTATTTTGTATTTGGAATGTTCACAATTTGAATCCAATGAAAAAGTTAATTGATTATCATCAGGTAAGTTCGGCAAACTTGACACTTATTCCTGATAACAACTGACATTGTTCATTGTCATTCGCGTTTTGCAGAGACGGTTTAAGTTTTGAGTTTGAGTTTTCACACTTTTTCGATAAAGATTTGTCAGATCATCTACATCGTTCTGTTGCTGATCATCTTTCCAGAAGGTAATATTTTTGTAAGTTTTTGTACATGTGTGTTTGAATGCTGATAAGTTCAGAAGTGCCTGTGATCGCAGCTGGCAGAAGTATTCTTTTTGTGCAATCTTAATGAGAATAAACAATGCGTTCTTGTTTAGTGTTGTGGTGGTAGAGCAAAGGGGAAGAGCGCTGGTGTTGATTATTTTTCGTGTTACCTAGGTTTATGCTTATTGAGTTTTTGATAGAGAAGTGCTTATCAAATTTTGTATCGACTAAAAAACAAGACACAACTCTTGGATGAACGCTCTACCTGACGGCAGCAACTTGAACACTTCTGAGCGGTTTGTTCAGATGATATGACCAATAAGCACAAACAAAAAACATATGTCGCATTGGAAGCTTTCGAGAACTCCGATAGGTGGCGTACGCTTATTTTCCAACGCGAATAGGCACTTTAAGAGAGGAAAATTGAATAGCCCAGTTGGTTGAAACGGACCGAGTTTTGAATCATTGTTTATGTAAGTTTAAACGTTGTTCGAATCTTCTTATTTCAGTTCAATGATTTTCCTCAAGCCAGCACTATTCAAAATAAAACCTAATTCTGCACATGAGCATTTACGCTCCGGCCCATATCTTTCACCACACTTTTGATCTATTCAATTGGCATTCTAGTATCAGTATACCTGGTGACATAAGAGACATGTAACAGCCTGTAGTTTTTTTATTCGAAGAGATAAAAAATTGAAATTCACAAGGGTTATATTATCGATGATGATTTCAACCACCTGTATATTTTAGTAGACTATCTTATTTGCCTTGAAATCCTCTATTCAACTATGTATCACAATTTGATATTCGTTCATTAATTGGCTGTTGAATTGCATTTTATTGAAATACATGAAGTTGGCTGTGGCCCGAATGCAATGACATTTTGATGCTTGATAGGCTTAGAAATCCAAAGATCATTACTTAGACGGTATTATCAGAATATTTTCCATACCCTAATCGGTCCCAGTAGATTTCCAATACATAATTTCATTGTTTAAAAAAAGCATCCGAAAATAACTATAGAATAGAATGAATTAGACGTAATCTGATTTGGAATGTAAATGTCATCATGAGTGAAGAATATTGTACACAAAACAATGTCAGTAAGCTTCGGTTTTCATAGGTATGTTGATAGGATGACTTTGTTATGTTTCCTAGCCATATTTAGATATATGATAACTAATTGGAGTACCTGTGGAACAACAACTTTAAATAAAATCCAAATACTTCAAAATAGGGTAGTAAAGATCTTGTTCAACTTGGACTATCGTATGTCGACGGATATACCTAGATACTAAATTAGATAAATTAGATATGATTATCAAGCTGGAACAATGTAAATATATATATAAACTGGTACACAGCCAACTGAAAACTAATTCTGAACTAAGCTATAGAAATCAAATACACTCACATGACACAAGGAATAAACATCAACTAAACATACAGAAGCCAAGAACTAATAAAGTACTCAATAATCCTATAGATAGAGCGATAAAAGCCTACAATGAGGTTCCTAAGACTATAAAGAATATTGTTAGTTGGGGTACATATAAAACCACACTCAAAAAATGGTGTTTGGACAAAATGCTAAATTAATATACCTATATATATATATTTACAAAATGCTAATTAATATCTCTAGATATATATATTTACATATCAGGTGATAAGATATTATGAATTGTTACCGCACGTTTTCTTTTTTCTTTATTATATGATCCCGAGACCGGCTAATCCAAACCGATTGGGGACCAATCACAAATGATTCATGATGTGTACTATTATCATAATCAATAGTATTA